GTTACAATCCCAGCTCTGACTTTTACAGGAACTCAGTGTTACTCAGTGGAACACCCCCGGTAGGGCAGGACGCTACGCTTGAAGGGGATTTAAGGTTCAAGGTCTCCAACGTCAGCAAATCCAACCTCACAGCCGCCCCGCTGTTCATGTCGGCACACTCCATCTCATGACTGACTGGGAGCGCTGCCTCAGCACATTCCCACTGTTTCCCAGCTCTGACTTTTACAGGAACTCAGTGTTACTCAGTGGAACACCCCCGGTAGGGCAGGACGCTACGCTTGAAGGGGATTTAAGGTTCAAGGTCTCCAACGTCAGCAAATCCAACCTCACAGCCGCCCCGCTGTTCATGTCGGCACACTCCATCTCATGACTGACTGGGAGCGCTGCCTCAGCACATTCCCACTGTTTTGCTCCTCGGGGGCTAATAACTAGGGAGGGCCACGAAAAACATGTCCTGAACGGCGAAATCTAGTCTCTCCTCTGTGAAATCCGGGCTTTTGCATGCGTTTACACCACATTATACAGATTTCACAGGGGAGACCAACATTTCTCAAACTGGGTCCGGACACAAACGGGAGTTACAGGGGGTGGAAAGGTTCTTTTAGGGGCTCATCGTATTGCCACCTGTCTGCACTGTCGTCCGAGCTGGATGGCCAAAAGGCAGCAGCTCTTGGTCGGCCACCCAGCTCTGAAGGCCGCACCCCACTAGCGGCAGCTCAGAAGGATGGTCATACCTTACCATGCCACTCTTACTTCTGTGCTGATCCCTTCCGATCTGTGCAGCTGGAGTGCGACGGCTTCTGTCTGTGCTGCTGCTGGCAGCAACTCTGCCTTCAGAGCTGGGCTCCCAGCCCGCAGCCACCGCCCTCCAGCTGCTCAGCTCTGAAGCCAGCTGCCACCAGCAGCAAAGAAGTACGGGGAGAAGGGCCGCAAACCTCCTCCTACCATAACCATGCGGCCCCCTCGACCCCTTTCCTGGGCCAGGATCCCGACCATTACAACACAGAGACATTTCAGATTTAACTAGCTGAACTCATGAAATGTACAATTTTTAAAACAGCTGATGACTTGAAACTGACCAAAATGGGCCGTGAATTTGGCAAAGCCCTACCAATAAGAGTGGACTGCAGCAGTGTAAACCCATCAGCCCAGCTCATCAGCAACCCGACACAACTGCGGAGGGGTTCTCCAAAGGCTGGGGGGACCCCAGAGATGGGTGTTAAGGCGGCCTGGAGAAAGCTGCGGCAGGGAGTATGCTGGCAGGGGTCCTCTCTAGCAGCTTCAGACTGCTAGTTTTCAAAGGGGGAGCCCGTGAGAGCTGCCTGTGCTCAGCACCTCTGACAAATCAGCTGTCCTGAAATGAAGCCACCCCCCAATCACCTTCTGACCCGTCCCGTGTTTTGTCCAGCTCTGACACCATCTGGATTTCTGTCCCTTACTTGGTCTTAACTCTCCCTCTGCTCCTGCCTGTCGCCAGTTCCTAGGGAGCAATGACATCATTAGCAGGGGCGGGGCTTCGTGAGCTGCGCAGGTGCAGCGTTATGGTGGCATGTAGGACACAGGAGCCTGCGAAAGGCTGGGTATCGCCACCGATGCGGCATATGACAGCTGGCTATGGAGGGGGGACGGAATTGGTTGGGAGGGGCTCCAGAAAGGGGGCGGTAAGGGCCTGGCTCCCCACTCGGTTGCTGATCAGTGGTACAGGCTCCCACAGCATGGAGGCGCGTGACAAATGTGTGCAGCAATTATGTCCTCCCCGACTGTGAGCGGTGTCATATGGATGCATCACTCTAATCACAGCTCTGGCATGTAGAGAAAACAGCTCCCAGATAAGGGCGCGAACTCCCCATCCCCCACCTCCCCTTGGCAAAGTTCTCTTTCGATTTTTTTTTTTAATGCTGCGGTAACAGAAAATATGACCTGGAAGCTGACACTGAAGGACAGACCCTCACTGGGCCGTGTCTTTGTCATAAGGATCAGAAGTTCCATCCCTACTCTTGGGGACTTGTGCAAATTCAAATCTGAATCCGGTCTGGGTGTGGATCTCTTGAGCTGGGATTTGACCCACCCAAAATGGAAACTCAGCCAAACTGACCAAGAGTTAAGCCCAAAACATGAGAAACCAAAATGTCTGGGGTAACTTCCTGCTATAGCCAGGAGTCAGCCCACGTCTGTTTGGTTTGTGGCCGTGGCTGTGGCTGGCACGTGTCTCAAGCAAACAATCCTGATATTCAAGTTTGCAACACAAGACGTTCCGTCTGGATTCAGGGCTGGTTCCTGTAGATGTCCCTGGCTCTGTGTGACGTTGCAGAGGCGTGAGCCTACCTGGCTGATGGCAGCACACCTGAAGGGCACACCTGAGCGTCATTCATTACCATGAAAATCAGCACTTGGCTCCAAGTCCCAACACAGTAAATACAAAACTCCAGGGAAGGGAGGGGGGGGGGGAGAGAAACAGGACTCCCTGACCAATCTGGAGCCAAATTTTGCCCTGCTGTCTCGAAGCAGTGCTGGATTTATGCACAAGCTAAGTAAACTGCAGTTTAAGGCCTCAGATTATGAGGGCCCTCTAAATAAAAACAAAACAAAAAACTAGTTTTTAGTTGCGTCCTCACCTCTGTATTGATATGTAGGCAAATATAAAACTTAATGATTTCTATTTTCATTGTCCTTTCTGTTAGAATAATGCACATTTGTTTTGGCTTCTTAAACTCGATGGCTACGGCTAGACAGGCATGATTTTCCACAAATGCTTTTAACGGAAAAGTTTTCCATTAAAAGCATTTGCGGAAAAGAGCATCTAGATTGGCACGGACACTTTTCCGCAAAAGCACTGTTTGCAGAAAAGTGTCTGTGCCAATCTAGACACGCTTTTCCGCAAAAAAGCCCCGATCGCCATTTTTGCGATCGGGGCTTTTTTGCGCAAAACAAATCTGAGCTGTCTACACTGGCCCTTTTGACTTTTGCCCAAACGGGAGCAGCATAGTATTTGTGCAAGAAGCACTGATTTCAGACAGTAGGAAGTCAGTGCTCTTGTGGAAATTCAAGCGGCCAGTGTAGACAGCTGGCAAGTTTTTCCACAAAAGCAGATGATTTTGCGGAAAAACTTGCCAGTCTAGACACAGCCGACATGTTTAGGGCCTCAGTGTGTCTTAATCCTGCCATGCCGTGAAGCAAAGCTTGGCCGAGGATACCTGTGGGCCTTGCCATAGTCAAGGCTAGTATGAGGATAGTGGATTCGGTGGGTTGGGACTATTTCTAGGAAAAACACTGCCGTATTTTATCCCCTGGAGCTAAGAAGCACTGACACAAGGGGATAAGCCTGACAGACATGCCAGGTGGAGGATCTTACTGGGCGTGGTTTGAATAAGCAGCTAGCTAACCGGATGCTTTCTCCCAGCCTTAACAGAACCACCCCAACGCTCCGACTGGCAGGGGAGAAGCCGGGAGTCTCACGAGGACAAACTTCCTTGCAATCTTCCCGATTCCTTCAGATCAGGCTAAAAACACAAAACCAAACTGGCTGCTTTGCCTTCTTTTGGTGGTGCCGAGTCTGGTGCTGTTCTGAAGCACTGAAGTACCATGAACTTGGGGATATAATGCCGGGGGGTGGAGGAAGCTATCAAAATGACACCCGCTCTTATGAAACGTGCAGTAGGAGTGTGGGGCGATGAGGTGGGAGGGTTTATTTCAGCACAGACAAGGCTTGCTCCCTGCCACAAAGCCCTTCAGCTCTTACTGCCCCCCGGGGTCGTGGGGGCAGTGGCAGCTGCTCTGATTTAGGGGGTCTCGAGTCTGTTCTGAGAAGCGAAGAAGGCAAGAGACAAGGGACAGGAGGAAACCCAGGAGGGGATCTCAAGGAGACGTGTGGACACACTCAGGATTGCAAAGGTGCTGGGCTGGTCGCTCCAGGAATTTGTTCCAGGAATCACAGCTGAGCACGTGTGATCCGCGTCCTGCAGCTTCAGAGGCCCACCAGATGGGAAACACACGTCCCCATTTCACGACAGGTGGAGGCTGTGTAACCCACACACCTAGGCTATGTCTACACTCGCGGCTTGTTGCGCGAGAAATATGCAAATGAGGCTAAGCGTGGAATATCGCCGAGCCTCGTTTGCATACCTTATGAGCCGCCATTTTTGCAGAAGAGGAGGCTCGTGCACCAGAAGGAGCTGTCTACACGGCCCCCTCTTGCGCAAGAAAACCCTCTTGCACAATGCTGCTACGCCGATTATTTTCAGGAATAGCGGCATTGCGCAAGAGGGTTTTTCTTGCGCAAGAAGGGGCAGTGTAGACAGCTCCTTCTGGCGCAAGAGCCTCTTCCGCGAAAATGGCGGCTCATTAGATATGCAAATGAGGCTCGGTGATATTCCACGCTTAGCCTCATTTGCACACTTCTGGTGCACGATCATGCCCATGTAGACACAGCCCTAGTGTGGTTACTGAGCAATGCAAGTGGTACCTAGACCACAGCAACAGTTAAGATCAAGCGATCTCTGCAGCATGGGCTGGGAGCCAGCTGGTTTTTAGCTCAGAGGGTAGATGCTCCTATACTCAGCTCCCGAGGTCCCAGGTTCATATCTGCCCGGTGGCAGCTGCACACCTGAAGGGGTCCTGTCTGCCAGCAACAGGCAGGAAAAACAGCCCCCTGGGGCTTGCCTCCTTCCCTCCTGCCCCCTCTAGTCCCCTGCTCCCCCCTCCCCATCCTGCCTCAGTGGGCCCACTCACCGTACAGGATGATGCTGACGTTGGTATTGCCTAGCTTGTTGGAGGCCACGCATGTGTAGTTCCCATAATCCTGCTCGGAGACGTTGAAGAAGGTGAGCCTGGAGAAGAAGGCTTTGCTCTCAACTTTCACTCCTCTCTGTCCTTGTACCAGCCTGCGGCATGGGGAGAAGGGGAAAGGCACATGGTAACGCCTTCGGGAGGAAAGACATGTTCAGAGCAAGGAGCTGCTAACTACCCCTCCGGCACAGAGCCCTACGGCAGTAAAACCTAGTGGATCCACCTGAGATCAGAGCTCCCCCATGCCGGACAATTAGCAGGCGACACGTCTTGGCCCAGCGAGCTTCCATCTAAACAAAGGGTGAGTGAAATGAACGGCCCTAGATCAAAAGCAGGGCTGAGACTAGAAGCAGGTCTCCCGAGTCCCATCTGACGCCTTCTCCACCAGAGAGCACATGGCCACGGGGCTGAGTTAGAACAAGACACATTTCAGAGAAGCAAAGCACCTAAAATGGCAGAAAAATCTTCAGGCTTGCAAAGCTCCCAGTTGGTGAGGATCACCATATGGGTCCCGCAGAATGACAGAATCAAGGCCCTGGTAATCCCAATGGGGGTCCTCACCCCCTACTCCAGGGACCGTTTCCTTCCCACCCCACTGTGACGTAGTGGGGGTACCTGGCTGGTTTCTATGCTGCTGGCTCTGGGGTAACCCCCACTGGCTGCCGTGGGTACCACGACCCAGCAAAACAGGATGAGTCACTATGCAAACCAGTATGGCCAGACACCCCCCATGGAGAGGAACAAAGGAAGGTGGAATGCTGCCCTGGCTGGGGGGCAGGGCTGGAAGAGAGTTAGTTGCGGGCTGGGAGCATGGAGGAGACAGCCTAGGGAAAGGGGCTGGAGTTTAGGGGCCCAGTCTCCCCCATCTCAAGGGGGCCTGAGGCATCCTAGCCCAGCTCTGTGACCAGATTCCATCTGTGCTGTGCTGTATCCTGGAGAGGCAATAAACTTCCTCTATTCCACCGGCTGGTGCAGTCTGTTTGTGCCATTTCGGGGTGCAGGAGACGGGGGACCCCCAACGCGCCGTCACACCCTCCCAACAAGCTCTCCCACACTCCCTTCTACCTATCTCTCCCCCAGGCCTTTGGGGAACCCCTAGAAGAGTGTCCACTGGGCCCCGCATGGCTGAGAAATCCAGTCCCGCTTTCCGGGGCCCATCAGAGACCAGACCCCTGACTGGGTCTGGTGCGAGTGGAGCTGTGGACACGTCGCTCAGCTGCCCGGTGCCTGCAAAGACCTTCACAGAGAAGAGCCTGGAGAGAGGTGGATGGAGCTGCAGAAAACTGCAGCGGGAGGAAGTGGTCCGGGCCGTCATGCTGCATGGCTGACACAGCCTAGCGGGGACTCCAGAGATGATCCAGAGATGTCATTATTCCCCTTTATTCGGCTTTGGTGAGGCCACATCTGGAGTATTGTGTCCAGTTCTGGGCCCCCCACTACAAAAAGGATGTGGACGCATTGGAGAGGGTCCAGCGGAGGACGACCAAAATGATTCGGGGGCTGGAGAATATGACCTACGAGGAGAGGCTGAGGGACTTGGGTCTGTTTAGTCTGCAGAAGCGAAGAGTGAGGGGGGATTTGAGAGCAGCCTTCAACTTCCTGAAGGGAGGTTCCAAAGAGGATGGAGAGAGGCTGTTCACAGTAGTGACAGATGGCAGAACAAGGAGCAATGGTCTCAAGTTGTGGTGGGAGAGGTCCAGGTTGGATATTAGGAAAAACTATTTCACTAGGAGGGTGGTGAAGCACTGGGATGGGTTCCCTAGGGAAGTAGTGGAGTCTCCATCCCTAGAGGTGTTTAAGTCTCGGCTTGACAAAGCCCTGGCCGGGTTGATTTAGTTGGACCTGGTCCTGCCTAGAGCAGGGGGCTGGACTTGACGACCTTCTGAGGTCTCTTCCAGTTCTATGATTCTATGATAAGGGGATGGTTGGATGAGATAACATGATCTTGGTAACTAATTGACAATTTACTATCAGTTGGAAATAGGTCAATGGAGGGATGATAGGAGTTGCTATAGGGAACTTTCTGGGTGTCTGGCTGGTGAGTCTTGCCCACATGCTCAGGGTTTAGCTGATCGCCATATTTGGGGTCAGGAAGGAATTTTCCTCCAGGGTAGATTGGCAGAGGCCCTGGAGGTTTTTCGCCTTCCTCTGTAGCATTGGGCACAGATCACAGCTGAAGGACTCTCTGCATGTTGGGGCCTTCAAAGTATTGGAAGGCTTCAATATCTGAGACATAGGTGAGAGGATTATTCTAAGAGGGGTGGGCGAGATTCTGTGGCCTGCACTGTGCAGGGGGTCAGACTAGATGATCATAATGGTCCCTTCTGACCTTAAAGTCTATGACTCAGAGATGGGAGCAGCTGGCATCACTCTCTGAGGTACAGCGGAGGGAAGAGAAGACCAGGGGGACGCGGAAGAGGAAGGAGGCTTGCCTGGGAGACGGGGATTAGAGAGCGATCCGGCGAAGGAGTCTTTCAGCCTGTCCCCAGCTCCCCCAGGACACCAGCCCAATTCAGGCCTGGCCCCGGAAAAGGACTGAAACTGAATCCTTGCCTCGATTTGAGCCCGACTTGTTTCCCCCTCCCCCCAGACTGCCAAAGCAGTGCTGAAATTAGGCCTGCCCTGCCATTCTAGGTGGGGTACCAGGCCCATAGTGGCCTCAACTCTACGGCAGCCTTGGCCATAAGAACCCAACCCTAGTTTGGGGAACCTACCTCTGGGGACCCAACCCTAGGGACAAGAGCCCTGTCCACAGGTACCGTAGGGTAGGGCAGGGAGCAAGCAGGCGAGCTGCGGAGAGGGGTCGCGGCTGCATCGGCCCACCCTCTCCCTGGCTCAGTGCAGCGTGGTGTAATATTGTCAGTCGGCCAGTCCCTGATTTTTTGGTTTCATCCCTTCGTAACCCCTCCCCCTCTCTCCCCCAGCATCTCTGTTTCTTCAGATGCTCAGGTCTTTTTCACTAGCTAATTCCTCCCCCTGGCTGCCTGCTCCCCGTTACTACCACCACCCCGGCTCGACTGGCTCTTGACTGACAACTCTCAATGGCGTTGGGCTTCCGTATGAATATGAATATTATTCATCTTTGTGGCTTAAAGGCCGGCGTAATACGGCTGACTTCTGAAAAATGCTGAGCCGGATGGGAAAATATCCCCCAATTAGTATTTCAAACCCATTTCTCCGGTCCTGGGAGATGCTCTACACACAAAACAAATGAAACGAACCTCACCACAGGTGCGGGCCCTGCAAAAAGAGAGCGCTAATCTTATGCTGATATATTACCCTAGGATGTGAGCATCACACCAGCTGTTTTAATATATTTATCTCCTCTACACCCCCACGCAGCACTTGTTAGGCCTATTTTGCAGAGGGGGAAGTAAAGCACAGAGAGGCTAAATGACATGACCAAGGTCCCACTGAAACTTGGCATTGGTGGGAAATGAACTCGGGTCTCACAAATCCCAGGTCAGACCATCCTTCTTCACTTCCTATTGAGCATGATTCCCAAGTGCTCAGGACTCTGCCATTTCAACGGAGCTGGAGAGGGAGCATCTTTGGTCTTAAGAAAGCTCTGCATTTTCACATACTCCCAAAGCCTGGATTTGTGCTTTCAATTATACTCTCAGCACTTTCAGGCAAGGGACCACACAACCCTCAGCAAGGAGGGGAATCACTTTTTTGGAGAAAAGGAGACACGACTCACCCCAAGGTCATCCAACAGGACACGGGCCAGATCTATATTGAGGAAGAAATTTAACTCAAGATACGCAACGTCAGCGACGTGAATAGCGTAGCTGGATTTGACGTACCTTAAATCGAATTTCTGCGGTGGCTCCATTGCAGGGAGTTGATAGGAGAAATTCTCCTGTCAACTTCTCTAACTCCTCATAACCCCATGGATTACTGGAGTCAATGCGGGTGCTATCAGTGTTTGATTTAGTGGGTCTTTCGTAGACCTGCTAAATTGAACCCCGGAAGATGGATCTCCAGAGCATCGATCTTTGGGTAAGTATAGACAAAGCCTTACAGTCAGGAACTGAAGCTAGTTTAACTGACTCTCAGATCACTTCTGTAACCGCTGGATCACTTTAGGTCCACAAATGCCATTTACACACGCAGCATAGGGCATGCACATCTGAATTCAGGGTGCAACCTGAGTCCAATTGAAAATGATGATCAGAAGATCCATTGCCAGGCAGGAAAACTGGCCTAAGAGGTCAGATATTCTATATTGTGGAGGCAGAGTTGGCTTAAATACAAATCCATGGTCTGATTTTAATATGCGCCCAATGACGGCAGGTCCTGTTGGAATGGACGAGAGATGCACGTGCTCAGGACCTGCACAGATCAGATTATTCATGCAGATTTGGGCCCAATACAAAAAGCCGGAGTCAAAAAGCTAGGGGGAATCTGGCTCAGAATCCAGATTAGAATTGAGCTGCTGGCTGCTGTATTTCGAATAAGCTGAATCCGCTGGATCTGAATGCTACCAGTCTATGGGCAAGTTTGGATCCAGATCTAAACACGCCCCCTTGGGCCTGTCTCTAATTAGCTGTTGGTCTTTTACTCTCTGCTCCTAGGAGTGTTGGCCTCTCTATTTCTGCAGCAGCCTCCTTTTTAAAGAGATAAACATCATTTGGGGAGAGTAAATGGCTCAGCATCTGGTTTCCTCTCTCTTCTCCTAGTCACGAACGAAAACATCTGGGGCAGAGGGATGCTCAGCATTTAATTATTGTTTCCCCTGCCTGAAATGGGGCTGACCACGTTCCCTGCTCCTTCCTTGATGGTGTTCTTAAGGTTCTTTTTGCCATTGGGGGATCTTCAGCCAATCACAACGGATATCCTGGCCCCCTCGCGCAACAGCCAAGCCGTCTGTTCCCTACCTCCATCCCCCTCTTTTCTCCTGCAGGGCTGGTCCCAAAAGCCGGGTGAAGTGAGGTCGCTGACGCCTGTTCCTGTCCCCCACTGACTCCAGGGCTAACGGGCTCCACAGTCCAAGTGCAGACTCTACCACCCTGCTTTGTGAAAGGTGAGTGGAATGCAAAGGAGAGACAGCCCAGGAGACAATGCACCTAAATCCCCTGGCAGCAGCAGAAGATTGTTTTCTTGCTGGGGTGGATGCTACCTTTGAGGCCCTTCCGGCTGATCTCAGGGATTGCGGGGTGTCCCCCTCTGCCCCAACCCCCGCTGCTCCACCTACCTTTTGTCGTCTTTGAACCACTGGAACTCTGCCGCGGGCACAGCGGAGGCTTCGCACTGAAGAATGCCCTTCTGCCCCACGGGCACCCCGGTGCTCTTGGCGTCCGAAATGTACGGCGGGTCTGCAGGGACAGCAGGGCGTGAGGGTTTCTCCTGGTGGCCTCAGCAATCCCCCCCTCTCTGCCTCCGTCCGGCAAGCCCTTCTTTCCTCCCCGCCTCGTGCTCGGCGCCAAATTCAGCCGCTAGAGGAAGAAGGTCCCTGTGCCAGCTGCCCTCCCCGGGCCAACAGGAGGCCAGTTTCCCGAGCCAGTGCCCAGTTCCTGCCACTCAAGGGCTGTTTACAGGCCCGCAAGGGGCTGCGCTCCCAGTGTTCGGGCAGATGGCAAGGGAGTGCCCCCAACCTCCATGCTGCGTCTCTGGCCAGCACGGCTCCTTCCGTCTGTTCGCCCCAGTTCAACAGACGTGCTTATCGGAGCTGCTGGCGTCTCCACTGCTCGCCGGGGTGTTCCTTTGGGCACGGGACTGCGTGTGCACCTGTGTGAGCCAGCCTGTGTCTCCGTGCGAGCGCAGGGGCCCGTGCTGGTGAGCGCACGCACACGTTTGCTCGTGCCGGACTGGGAGCACACGCACATGCACGAACGCTTCTGGAGCACAGGTGCTCACCACAGCGGGTGGACGTGGACGTGCACGGCAGTTGTGCGGCTGTGCCTGTGTGGGTCTGAATGCACATGCTGCGTGCACAGGAGAGCGGGATGCAGGAGGGCTGAGTTTCCTGCCCCCGCTCTTTTTGCAGCAGCATTTCTGCTCATTATTTGGTTTTAAATTCCCACTTGCTGCTCACTTCCCATGTCCCCAGGGGCTGTCAGCACGGCATCTCCCCGTGGGCTGTGAGAGCCCTGTGCACGCCAGAGAGAGGGCGGGGGGAAGCGGGGGCGGGGGAGACAGGAGAGGGAAGGAATTTAAACACCAAACTACCGGGCAAAACCATATGTGCTAAGAAAACAGACGTGCCCCTTCCCAGCCCACTCTGCACTTGCCTCCAGCTCCTTGCAAAACACATCCCAGCCTCCCCCCGCCCCCCGAAACCTCCTGCACAGAAACCCTCAGGACCCTGCAGGGACAAGGGGTGTGAAATATCGGTTACTTGAATAGTTGGTTAACCTCACAAATTCTTATCAGTTATTTGACTATTCTGTAGCCCCTGGGGGCAGGGCTGGCAGCCAGTGCGCTCCAGCCCCACTCCCGAGGAGCCCCCTGCCACTCTGTGCTGCTGCCCCTCGGGAGCTGGTCTGTGAGGGGAGACAGTTTAAAACCCAGCTCCCCTTGTGGACCGGCTGCCTGTTGCTCTGTGCTGCTGCCTCAGATCCAGAGGCAGCAGCGTCGGGTGGCAGCAGCCCCTGTGTGGGGGCGGAAGCTGAGCTCCTGGACCAGCACGCACTGGAACTGAGCCGGGCTGCCTGCCCACCTGGCTCCTAATACACTTCAAATGCAGAGCCGCAACGGGGGCAGGCCAGCCTGCTAAAAAATGTCCTTTCAAGGGTGTGTGTGAGGGTTTCCCCCTGTGGCCTCAGCAATCCCTCCCTCCCTCCCTCCCTCATGGTCTGCACCAAATTCATCCACTACAGGCAGAAGGTCCCTGTGCCAACTGCCCTCCCCTGGCCAACGATAAGCGTTTGCTTATCAGTTAATTGACTACACTATTAGGGTGTGTCTACACTACCACCCTAGTTCGAACTAGGATGGTTAATGTAGGCAACCGGAGTTGCAAATGAAGCCCGGGATTTGAATTTCCCGGGCTTCATTTGCATATTGCCGGGTGCCGCCATTTTTAAATGTCCGCTAGTTCGGACTCCGTGCCCGCAGCTACATGCGGCACGAACTAGGTAGTTCGGATTAGGCTTCCTATTCCGAACTAACGTTACTCCTCGTGGAACGAGATGTACTGGTAATTCAGAATAGGAAGCCTAGTCCGAACTATCTAGTTCGTGCCGCGTGTAGCCGCGGGCACGGAGTCCGAACTAGCAGACATTTAAAAATGGCGGCGCCCGGCAATATGCAAATGAAGCCCGGGAAATTCAAATCCCGGGCTTCATTTGCAACTCCGGTTGCCTACATTACCCTCCTAGTTCGAACTAGGATGGTAGTGTAGACACACCCTTACATCCCTAGCAGGGATGCCCCCAGCCCAGCCCTGCCTTCTCCCAGCCTCCGTGCAAACACTCCCACCCTCGTGCACGGACACACCCAGCCCTCCCCTCTCCCTTTCTCCCCCACAGACACCACCAGCTCCCCCACAGCCCTTCCTGACCACTTGCAGACACCCAAAGTTGGCTGCCCAGCCACACCCTTCCCGGCCCATGCACCTTCTCTTGGGGCAGCGGCGATGCAGGCCGAGTGTGAAGGGACAACGTTCTTCCCCTTCCCCGTGGCGTCACGTGGGGCCCCCCTTCTTTGCCAGCCACCCGCTCTCTGTTAACCGCGCGGGCACCCGAGCGTACTCACAGTTGACGGTGACTTTCACTCTCTGGACGACGGGCGCTGCCACATCATTGGACGCGCTGCACTCGTACTCGCCCGACTGCTCCCTGGTGATGCCGGTGATCTCCAGGTACTCGTCCTCGCTCACGAACCCCACTGCTGCAGGGGCCAGAAGGAGAAGGAGACACAGGCTAGGGAGCAGCACCACAGCTGGGTTAACAGCTGGGCATGTGGCAAGGCAGCTGGCCCTGCAGCTGCTCAACAGGCCAGCAGGATTTCCTGACACAGCACTTAATGTGACCTCCTTCTCCCAGACCCCTCTTTGCCCCTTTCTCTTGTCTGATGCAAGAGAGAAAATCAAGCGCTGCAGACCGGCCACGGTGTGAGAAGGAATCGCAGAGCCAGGTGTAACCGCGTCCCAGGGCAACCCATGTGCAGAAGACGCCCGCTCAGCATGCCCGCATTCCCTTCCGGGATGGACATAGCTGATTCTCTCCCGCACTAGCGAGGTCCCTGGCCTGCAATCTCGAGAAGCTCACCTGCCAAGAGGATTCGGGCGCCCACTGCACACAAGATTCTTCCTGTTGGATCTGTACAAGGGGAGCTGGGTCTCTTTGGCTCAGCTCCCAAGTTGCCTCAGCAAAGCATAAAGCTCATTCCAATGTGGTCTAAACCCCAGGCTTGCAGCTCCGTAACTAAACGCTCAGGTCAGAAGGGCCCCAAGCCAACCAATTCCCCTGGTCCAGGACCTTTTACCATCAGCTGGGCACCCATACGATCTGACGACTGGAAAGCACCTTCCTTTCCCGAAGCATCCCCGGCTGCATTCCGTTACCAGTTCACCCAGCACCGAAATACTACCCCCTGGTGTGGAACGTAGCAGCTGTGTCAGCTCTTGGCTTTGGGAGAGGATGCGCAGGACACTATAAACAATGAGAGAGTGAAGGAGAGTGAAGGCAGGAAAACTGCAGTCACCCAAGATGCCAGCCCTGACTTTACCTTAATTAGAAGGAAAATGCTATTGTATCCTTCTAGACAACCAAGATCAGATTTCCCAGCGAGCTCAGACAGTACCAAATGGCCTGGAGATTTAGCCTGAGTAGGCACGGTGCTCTCTGGAGGGCTTTGATTTGGTACAGTCCCTACCAGCGTGCCAGGGGCTCCCCAGCTGGGTAACATGGTCGGTGGGACTGAAGCCAGGAGGCCCGAAGGAAAATGCTATTGTATCCTTCTAGACAACCAAGATCAGATTTCCCAGCGAGCTCAGACAGTACCAAATGGCCTGGAGATTTAGCCTGAGTAGGCACGGTGCTCTCTGGAGGGCTTTGATTTGGTACAGTCCCTACCAGCGTGCCAGGGGCTCCCCAGCTGGGTAACATGGTCGGTGGGACTGAAGCCAGGAGGCCCATGTTCAATAAGTTCCACTTCAGCTTAACCTGTGGTCCACTTCCCTCCTGGTTATCAAATCCCAGTGGCAGCATCGGAGCTGGGAGTTCCCTGCAGTGTCTGAGCCACAGAGCTGGGTCTGAAACCCCCCCAGGGCATGTCTACACTACAGATGTAACCCCCAGGGTATGTCTACACTATAGCTCATTTCAAAATAGTGCGTCTACACATAAAATGCATTTTGAAATAGCTTTTTGCTATTTTGAAATAGTGCATCCACACTGATAGGATGCTGAATCACATTTAAGGCCACCCAGAACCAGGTCCAGCAGGACATCAGGTCAGGAGTTACTTTGTGTGGCTGCTGCCTGAGGCTATCTGAGGCCTGTGCTTAAAGAGACCTTCTTGCTTGCCTACCTCGATGAGGGACAGCAAAGCACTTTTTTCTCTGCATGATCTCGTTGCCCTCATTCGGGATACCACAATCCTCTGCAACATGGAGCCAGATCTGCTCCTGAACACTCTGGTGCTTCTCTTGTACATGTTGCTGTGAGCCTGGCTTCACTTTCTGCAGGCTGCCATCCGGGAGGTCCATCGGGGGGCTGTCAGTATCCAGGAGGCCCTGCGGGAGAGCTTCCACCCTGACGAGCACTAACAGTCTCCCTGGTCTGCCCACTGAATAAAGTCCATAATCTCCACCCTGGACCAGGAAGGTACCCACCTTCTCCAAACCCTGGTCCTGCAATGGATCCCATGGAGGGATTGCAATTGTACACTGACCTGGCCATGCGGGGGCAATGACAGCGGGAAAGGAACCTGCTCATGTTACCTCATTGGGGAACAAAGCAGACAGGCCTGTAGCATCCACCACTCACCACTGCCCCAAACCTCACAGAACTTCTCGGTGCCCTGAAGAACTACTGTTCCCCAAAGCAGAAGGAAACTGTGGAGCAACGCACGTTTTCACTACAGACCAAGTCATAGGGGAGGGGATAGACCCCGATATTACTGCCTTTTACACACTGGATGTGACATGTAATCTTGCAGACTTCACAGTCTCCCTAATTTGAAACAGGATAGTCTCCCTCAATGTTCCCACTAACTTTTATCCATCCAGGTGCAGAATAAATTTTGTTATGTGCACAGAGGCATGCACAGATGTGCACCACCAAAAGAAACCCATGTTGCCAGCAGTGGGTGCTCTGCTAATCAACAGGGCGGCATTTGAATCTCTCTGGGGTGGCTGCCCTCGCGTGCTGTTTATCGGGAACACTGATCATTTGGGACCACCCTCTGCACGAGTGCTACTCCAGAAAGCAATCTAAGGTTGCTGAGCTGCCTTCACTGAAGGAGACAGCAGCAGCAGGTAACGGAGACGTGCCCTGCCCTAGGATAACATTGCAAGGCAGGGGGGCAAGCTGGCCCATTCTCGTAGCGTGTGCAAGAGCAGAAGCGGCGCTCCGAAAGATGCGCTCAGACTTGTCAGAGAGGAGCACGGCGCATCAGGCAATAGCAATGACATCATGTCTATCTCCTGTTGTCTGAGGTTCAGGCTACTGGGACAGAAAGACAACAAGGGACCATTTCAACTTCCATGTAAGCAACCATGTTAACAGGGAAACACCCTGTTCCATTTCATTTGGCTAGCAGGGCCTCCTGCAACATGACTGGAAAATCATTGGAAAGCTGTCTGGAAAGCCATACTCAGAAAGTAATTATCGATGGTTCACAGACAAGCTGGAAGGGCATATCGACGGGGAACCTGCTGGGAGCTATCTTGGGGCCAGTGCTATTCAATATCTTCCTACCCGATTTGGGCAAGGGCCTAGAGAAAACACTTATGAAATCTGTGGATGATACTGAGCTGGGAGGGGTTGTAAGAACTTTGGAGGCCTAAAATTCAGTCTGAGCTCAACAAACTGGAGAAATGGTTTGAAATAAATAGGATGGAGTTGAAGCAGAACAAACGGAAAGTACTCCATTCGACTGAACGGACGCGGAATGGGAAACCGCTGCCTAGGAAGGAATACTGCAAAAAAGGCTCTGCGGTTTACGGTAGGCCACAAACTAAATACACACCAGGCATGTATCACTGTTGCCAAAAAAAGAAGCAAACATCATTGTGGGATATATTAGCATGAGCATTGGGAAGCGAGACACGACAGGTTTTTTTTCCCCATTTCCCTCAGCACTGGTCCCCTCAACCAGACTACGGCGTCTAGTTCTGCGTCTCACACTTTGAGAAAAATGCGGACAAATTGGACGTAGTCCAGAGGAGAGTGACAAAAAAAAAAAAAAAGATGAAAGGTTTAGAAACATGACCTCCTAGGAAAGACTGAAAAAACTGGTTTTGTTTAGTCTGGAGAAGAGAAGACTGAGGGAGGCCATGATAACAGTCTTCAGGAATGTAGAAGTTGCTCTAAAGAGGAGGGTGATAAATTGGTCTCCTTATCCACTGAGGAAAGGACAAAAAGTAATGGGCTTAAATTGCAGTGAGGGAGATTGTTTAGACATGAGGAAAAGCTTCCTAACGGTAAGGGTCGTTAAGCACCGGAACAAATTACCTACGGTGATTACGGAATCTCTGTCATTGGAAGTGTTAAGAACAGGTTAGACAACCACCTGTCAGGGATGGTCTAGATAACATTTATTCCTGCCTCACTGCAAAGGACTGAGTGCGATGACCTATTGAAATGCCGTCCTGTCCTACATGTCTATCATTCTGCTATTTGTTGAGGGTGAATTGGACTCAGACACTTGCATTACAAAGAGCAATTGCAGGCAAATAATGTTACCAGGAGAGCACAATGCAGTCCATAGGAAAATGGAAGCTCCTAACAACCAACCTTACCGTATATTTTAGAAATGTGTGTCTGCCTGTCCATCTGTGAGTCTGTTCAAGAAATCCCAAATGGTAAGAACTAGGACCACCAAATTCGATGTACAGATTCCTCTTATCCTAACTTAAAGCAAGGTCTGGGTTTGGTTGTGCCAGGACAATGGGATGTGCCTGCAATTTGATTGTTTCTCATAAAATGGAAAGGGAAGGGTCAGGCAGGAGGGAGTTATACTGCAGAACAACCACTGGGGAACAGCAAGGGGCCACAGATGGGGACCGGCACAGCTATAACCCCACTGGGCCAGCCAGGGGCAGGGGTGGAGAAAGTGACAGCTATCTATTATGTATTTTCAGAGAATTTGTCTGTGTGCCTGTCCCACAGTTGGGGGACAAGCACCTCTCTCCCCGCTGTGCTTGCTGGAGCTGCAGTGGCCACAGAGAAGTGTGTCTCACCTGACCCCACGCTGCTGCAGTGAGAGAGGCCTGGGGTTGTCCTTTCTCCCTGGGGCAGCCTGCACCTTGATCCCTCCTCCCCATCCCCATCCCCATCCCAGAGCAATGACTTAGATAAAGAAAAACAAAACTGAGTTGAGTTGAAGAGCCCAGCAATGCCGGGTGAATCGTTCAGTCCAAAATACAAGAGCTCACATTTGCGGCGATAGAGGGTAAGCCCTGCGTCGTCCTCTTGGTAAGTATGGCCATGCAAGCCAGGGATCTGATCAGGTTCAGCTGCAATGCACACGCGGGGCGTCCCCTGAACAACGGAGACCGTTTCAAACGCACGTGGGAATGTTTGCAAAGACAATGGCCGCCTTGGCAGAAAGCTGCAACTAGAACTAGACCTGGCAGTGGAATCTGTGTGTGTCCCATGAAGCAAAGCCACAGAGGCCCTAGGTGTTCCAGTGCACAAGGTGCCTGACCATCTTCGGAGCAG